GGGACTCGATCTCGGGACTCCAGGATCATGACCTGAGCCGAAGGCAGTCGCTTAACCAACTGAGCCACCCAGGCGCCCCGAACCTGATTTCTTGATTAACAATACAAGTCAAGTTTGCATCAAAAGTAAAAGACTTTAATTTTTTTTAAAGCCACAAAATAACTCACATGAGAAAGAGATGTGCATTCCCAGAGCAGAGTTATAAGACCACATAATAGTGAGGCCTCCCAGTTAAAGGACACCCTGCTGCTTCTTCAGGAAGAAGACATGGCCTCTCCCCATGTCCCCTAGCTTTGAGAGTGCCTGACTCTCCCCCACGGGGCTCCCTGCCATGCAGGGAACATGCCTCTGCCAACTGGGAAGAGGGAGTTTGGCTGTCTGGGTAGCCAATGACCAGGGTTCCAGCCCTGCCTCTCTACTGCTGCCCCCTTCCCAGCCCATCAGGCCCAGCCACGCTAGTCTGTCCTGCTGACACTGGCCCTCTCCTCCCTCTGAGGATCTGCTCTCACCACTCTCCCCCTGCAGAATCCCTTTCTCCAGCTATCCAAAGCCTTTAAGACCCTATCAGAGCCTACCTTCTCCCTAAAGACTTCTCTACATGCCTTTGGCAATGAAATACACACTGCCTTGTAAAATCTCTTCTGCTATCTAACTGTAGGCTGGGTTTTATTTTTCTGGAGGGTATGAGGAAAGGGGGATTTTTTTATTATTTTAGAAGGAATTACAGGCACATCACAGAAAAAATAGAAAATAAGGAAAAGGAAACATAACTCCAACACGCTGATATACCCATAACTCCTCTCAGTCTTTTTTTAACATAGCTATAAGAGTTTATAATGATAGTCTATTTAGACCTCCTTTCCTACCTTTGCTTCAGTCTGCATCATTGGCCTCCATTGATGACGACCCCCTTGAGGGCAGAGGCAGAGAATCTGGCTTACACTGCCCTTGTTTGTCCCTTTAGAGCACCTAACACAGCCTGGCACACACTAGGCAATCAACAATTACTGCGGATTTTCTTGTCTCCATGCCAGCAGAGAAAATAATCTGTATTATTCCTTCAATTTCCTCCCTGTTCTTACTGTTATCCTAACAAATAACAAAATACTATAGGGCTGTATAAGTTACAGAAAATAGAGAAGTATAAATAAATTATTGTGTTTACCTATAAAGTCTCCTTTAGTCATTTTCTCATATAATTTGGCTTTTTCTTCCAATTTCTCCCTAGAGAAAAAAAGACAAGTATTAGAACTGGTCCAACACCTGCCACTCCTGCTAAGGCTGCCTGCGTGTCGTGCCCTGCACAAGAGGCCCGTCTGATGATGCAGCGGCTGTACCTCGAGCTGACCACCCCGCCCTAAGGGGACCCTCAGACCCAGCGACACCCGCTTTGTCGACTAAGTGTCAGTTCTGTGAGAACAGGCCCATGTTTCTCTTATTCATGACTGTAGCCCAGGGCCTAAAACAATACCTGGCACAAGTTCTCAATCAGTACCTGAAAATAAATAATGAAGTAAGATTCCAGGTGCAAATGCCAAGTACAACCTAAGTTAAATGCCAAAAAAGGGAGAGAGATGTCCAAACAAAAACATTTTCTATAACAACCTTCCAAACAGAACACCAAATTCAATGAAAACTCTTTGCATTACTGTTTTCAGACAAGGGTCCCTGGTCATCCATGGCTTATTAGGCTTCTCTAAGGTAGCTAAAGACCAACTTCTTACAAGTCTCTTAAAAATATAGTATCTGACAAATGTAGTGATCCGAAGGGGCACCTGCACCCCGATGTTTATAGCAGCAATGTCCACAATAGCCAAACTGTGGAAAGAGCCCAGATGTCCACTGACAGATGAATGGATAAAGAAGGTGTGGTGTGTCTGTATATATATATACAATGGAATATGACTCAGCCATCAGAAAGGATGAATACCTACCACTTGCATCGACAGGGATGGAACTGGAGGACATGCTAAGTGACATAAGTCAAGCAGAGAAAGACAATAGAGGATCATTGGGGAAGAGAGGAAAAAAATAAAACAAGACAAAACCAGAGAGGGAGACAAACCATAAGAGACTCTTCTTAAACAAAGGAAACAAACTGAGGGTTGCTGGAGGGGAGGGGGATGGAAGGATGGAGTAACTGGGTGATGGACATTAAGGAGGGCATGTGATGTAATGAGCACTGGGTGTTGTCTAAGACTGATGAATCACAGATCTGTACCTCTGAAACCAATAATACATTATATGTTAATTAACGGAATTTAAATTTTAAAAATGTTAAAAAATATATATGTATCTCTTTTATACAAAGCATGAATAATTTATTTGTGACACACAGCTAATAAAAAACAAACATCAACCCTGGTATTTCAATAAAGCAGCCTCTCTGCTCACATTAATTCTGATGACGTTTATTTTTTAGTGGGTACAGACCCAGTAAGACGGCTGGCAATTCTTTATTCTGGAAATACTTAATGATGGCAAAGAGAAGTCCCAAAAAGGTCATCTGAGCTTTTGCCTGTGAAGAATCACACTTAATCACAATGGAAAATTTCATTTCTAATGGCGTCCCGAGACAATAAAGTCCCTTGGTCACACGGCTGTGTGCTCTGGAGCGACTTACCTCACCTCTCTTGTACCCCCAATTCCTAAATCTGGAATAGATGAAAAAAACAGCACTCCCTCTTAGGGTGGCCACGAAGAGTGCCTAGACCACACCCGAAAGCTTGCCGTCAGTTACGGCATGTGCTTCTCTGCCATCTGGGTCAGAAAGATTCCTCTCCCATTTTACACATTCATTCCACGGGCACTGCTTCTAGGCCTCCTCTGTGCCAAGCACTGTTTCAGGCACCAAGGGCTCGGCAGTCAACAAGACACAGTCCCCACGCTCATAGAGTTCTTGTTATAGAAGGGGAGAAGGACAGTAACGAATCAATGAGAACGAGGCTTTCAGACAAGTGCTGTGAAGGGGAGGAAATAAAAGCAGTTTTCACCACTGGAGGCCCTTCAACTTCCAAAAGGTTAATTTGCCCTATATCAGAGGGGGCTTAATGTAATAACCTCTGTCATTATAGACTCTTACTTTTTCATGAAAATAAAACTTTAATTAAAAAAAACAAAACACAGGGCGCCTGGGTGGCTCAGTTGGTTAAGCGACTGCCTTCGGCTCAGGTCATGATCCTGGAGTCCCGGGATCAAGTCCCGCATCGGGCTCCCTGCTCAGCGGGGGGTCTGCTTCTCCCTCTGACCCTCTTCCCTCTTGTGCTGTCTCTCATTCTCTCTCTCAAATAAATGAAATCTTTAAAAAAAAAAAACACAAAAAAACAGGTGTCAGGACAGAGTAACCGGGCGGACACTAAGCTAGAAAAGGAAGCCCGGGGAAACCTCTCTGAAGGTGACATTTGAGCTAAGACTTATAGAGCAAGAAGCCAACCATGAGAGGATCTTGGGAAGAAAGCAAGTGAGGCAGAGGAAAGAGGAGGTGGGAATGAGCTTGGTATGTTCAAGCAGAGACCAGAGCGGTGGAGGATGCTGAGCACAGGAGAGAGGGGCACAAAATAAGGACAGAGAAAGGCAGGTACAGGAACGCATGGGAAAGGATAAGGAGTTTGGATGCAGTGTAACAGAAAGAAGATGGCAGAAGAGTCTACAAATGAATAATGGAGATCAAGCAAGATATCAGAGAAATGGCCACTGGATTTAGTAGATGAGGAAGTCATTAGAGACTTCAAGGAACAATTTCTTCGGTCGAGTAAGAAAGATGGAATTCAGAGGGCAAGAGCATGGGACACTTATCTGAAACTACTATGTGCCAGACACTACATAACTCCTTTAATCCCCTCAAGAGCTCCAGGAGCTGAGTATAAACTGCCTCACTTCACAGATAAGAAAAATCTCAATGGAGAAGTAACTTGCCTAAGGCCTTACACCCTCATGGGACTGCCCCTGCCTGTTTTGAGCTCTGCAGAGACGCAGAAGTCCTGCAGACCAAGGAAAGACTTGATTCCTCACAAGCGCAGTGAAGCCAAAGTATTACGTTAACAGGTCATTGAACAGAAAAAAAATCACAGCAAAGTACCCGGGGAAACTCTGTTATACAGAGTTTATACATTTATAAAGAATAAAAGATTACAGTACCTTTCAACAAATTAGAATTCTGAGAATATGTCCAGTAGGTGAGAAAGATGTCTCAAAAATTAACATATCCCATGTCTGCTGGGAACAGGTCAAGTGCCAAGAAAAACAATCCCCCAAATGTGCTAATATCCTGCCTCTTTTTTTCAGACCCAGAAGAGCTGAGCAACCTTAGCGACCAGTTTGCTACTGCAGTTTTTATTATGCAATAGATCCAAAAGGACATGAGTCATGACAGACATTAAAACTTGGGGTTCTCTCTGAATCTAGAGTGATACTGCAAATAAGGGAGAGTTCTTTACAGAAGAATGTCAGCTAATAAATGGAATGAAAAAAATAAAGATGGAATGAAAGAATTAGAAAAATCATCACTTTGAAATCACCAATGTAATAACGATGTGGAAATATGCTGGTGAACAAGCATAGTCTCAGAGTTTCCCTCCTTAGATTATTATTAATTACAAATGGGGACAAGCACCTTTACAGTGGAAAAATCTAGCAGGCCTATCTTAACTGAGTGATCAAACTTTATCACCAATAAAAACTCAAACTGACATTGTGAACCTCTTGCTGTGATCCAACAGGAAGGACACACCATGTACATCATATTCTTAAGCAAAAGCAGTTAATGTGACTCAATCAGATTATGGGACACTGCGGATAAAAAGGTCTGGATTCTTCAAGAACAGCAATGGTATAACAGACAACAAAAAGGCATGGGAATTAGTCTAGATTAAAAGAGACTAAAGAAATATGCCATCTGGGGTGCCTGGCTGGCTTAGAGGAGTGTATATCTCGATCTCAGGGTTGTGAGTTCGAGCCCCACGTTGGGTGTAGATTACTAAAAAAAAAAAAAAAAAAAAAACTTTAAAAAAAAGAAAGAAAGCCATGCTATAACCAAAATGTCTCCCTCTTAAAGAGAAAAAGAAAGAAAAATACGAAAACTAAATTCAATGTGCAATCTTTGAATTCTGGATTAAATTTAAAAAAAACTATAAAGGACTTAATTGTATCAGGATAATTGGTGAACTCTGCCTATAGACCATATAATAGATATTATTATTTTATTGGTGTTAAATTTCTTAGGTATGACAGCATTATCGTAGTGATGTAGGAGAATGTCCTTGCTCTTAGTGGATACATACTGAAATATTTTGAGGCAAAGTATCATGATGTTTAACAAAGTTTCTCTATACACACACAAAGAGGAGAGAAAGAGAGAAGCAAAAGCAGATGTGGAAAAACATTAATTGGTGAACTTAGGTAAAAAGTATTAGAAGATTCATTGTACTCTTCTTTCAACTATTCTGTTGTTTTCAAGTTTTTCAAAATAAAAAGCTAGGGGGAAAATTTAGTTTCTAAATGCTACTGTCACATTACCTAGTAGCCCAGAGCCACACCACCACGCGGACACTTCTTAAACACTTGTTGATGATCTCAGAGCCTAACAAAGGCTCAAAGTGGGACTCTGTTTCATCTTTCAGACTGCGGTTATGTCTTAAGACTACAAATACATCTGCAAATTATATTATTCTTAGAGTCTATTTTATATTTATAGAGCATATGACTGAAAAGATGACAAAATTAAAACTGTAAATCCAGAAGCCTAAAAGTGGAACTCTCACTTCTTTGCTTGGGTAGCCTCAGAGGCAACTACAGTTAGCAGAGCTTAACTTTACCTTGCTTTGTCTAAAGTCTTCTGTTCCTCGATCTTCTGTTCTGCATCCTTCTCAGCTCGATTTGAAACTCCTGCATTCTGTTTGCTCCAGATACTTGGTTTCTGCAGCATATTTATTTAAAAAGACAAAACAGAACCAAGTGATTGCAAAACAAAAATCTCTACTTACACATCGGAAGAAAAAAAACCGGATTAGATCTTATGAATCAATGGAGAAAACTAGATCTGACAGCCAACCTATGTCGTGCAAATAGACTATACAAGGGAAAGCTAGTGCTGAAAAAAAAAAAGCCCTAAATTATATAAAGAATTCCTTTACAAGATAGTTACTTATCTATTATCTCCTGAATGATTACAACTTAATTCAATAGATTTAGTAATATAAGTAATAAATACCACAACCTATTCACAACTGTTAAAGACCCTGACATTTTCTGCTATATTGCTATATTATCTAATTGTTTATCTGTTTGGATTAATAATACCTATACAGCTGATCTTCCATGAGAATGTACACAAACCACTAATTAAAACATGCACTCTTCCAAAAGAAGAGCTAAGTAATTATAGTATTATAATGCTCTAATTTCTTTTAAATGCTCTAATTTCTATTTTAATATAAAACATTTTATGCAGATGGGTCAGCTACAAGGGAGTTTCCTTTAATTTTTATATGTAGCAGAGACCAGGACATTTTCAAAAAACCTAGGTATGGTATAATTCCCCCATATTTGGAATTAATGGAGATAACTAGATCTTATTTTTACCTTATTAGTTGTTTTTGGTTTTCCCAAAACGCCAGAATCTTTTAGAAGTTTTTCTTGTTTGAATTCTTCTTGTTTTCGGAAGAGTTCAGCCTTAA